TCGGGGAGCCCAGGCGGAGGCCAGCCTCCCGCTGAGCTGGGGCTCATGGATCCAGCCGTAATGAGAGTCTTCTTTTCCCAGGAAACGCTGTCCGGTGCTAGCACGTAAGCCCTGAGTAAGCGGTGAGGACGCTGTGCGCGTCTGCTGTCCCTTACACGGCGCTTGGCCTCCTTCCCTTCTCAGCGTCACGTGACAGTGGGCCTCGTGGAAGGGGCCAGGGCGAGCCTTCCGTTACTTATTGACCATCACAGCTTTTTGGCCACATCGGATGTGCAAACAAATGAAAACGATCTGTGAGCAAAAGGTAGGGGCCCCCCACCTGTTCACCTGTCCCTGCTCCAACCCACTGCTGGGCGGGGGGGGGCTGACAGGAAAGGCTCCACTGTGCTCCAGCCGACAGGTCCTCACCCTCCGGCTCCACGCACAGCTGGGAGCAGAACAGACACCGACTTCCCACGGAACTGAGCAGCTCAAGGCTGTGTAATTATCTATGTGTTTTCCGATGGTCTTAGGCGACCCCTGTGAAAGGGTCGTTCAACCCCCAAAGGGGTCGCGGCCCACAGGTTGAGAACCGCTGCTCTAGCCTAGGGAAACTTAAGGGGAAGGAACTGTAGCTTTAATAAATCACACGTGAGGGGGCAGGCGCTGCAGGTGGCCCCGCACGTGCGGGAGGCAGAGCCCGCCCAGCCCCTCCTGCGGAGGTTGCTGATCCACTGGGGCTCGGGGAGCCCAGGCGGAGGCCAGCCTCCCGCTGAGCTGGGGCTCATGGATCCAGCCGTAATGAGAGTCTTCTTTTCCCAGGAAACGCTGTCCGGTGCTAGCACGTAAGCCCTGAGTAAGCGGTGAGGACGCTGTGCGCGTCTGCTGTCCCTTACACGGCGCTTGGCCTCCTTCCCTTCTCAGCGTCACGTGACAGTGGGCCTCGTGGAAGGGGCCAGGGCGAGCCTTCCGTTACTTATTGACCATCACAGCTTTTTGGCCACATCGGATGTGCAAACAAATGAAAACGATCTGTGAGCAAAAGGTAGGGGCCCCCCACCTGTTCACCTGTCCCTGCTCCAACCCACTGCTGGGCGGGGGGGGGCTGACAGGAAAGGCTCCACTGTGCTCCAGCCGACAGGTCCTCACCCTCCGGCTCCACGCACAGCTGGGAGCAGAACAGACACCGACTTCCCACGGAACTGAGCAGCTCAAGGCTGTGGAACTTGGCCTCCATTTGATGGCTCTGGTCCGAATGTCACATGACCAGAGAGGCACTCACACTGCATCCCACGGGTCCCCTGGTTCAGAGCCTCCCCGACAGGAGCCAGCTGTGCACCTTCTGCGCTTGTGTCCTCTAAGCCGTGGGTAAGTTTGCTGCATGATTGTGAGAATTAAATGAATTTATGCAAAATCCTGATAACAGGGCCAGGCATCAGCTATAAAGGGATGTGTAACGTATTTAATGGTTGGTTGATTTCCTTTACTTAACACTGCGGGCGGATGACGAGCATTCTCATGTTTTCACATTACACAGTGTGTTACATAAATGTTAAGGGCACGCCTTAAAATTAAATACCCATTGCATTTTGAAGTTATTACATGTTCTTACAAGCTAATATCTTTTTAAAGTATGATACTTTGTAAAACATTTTTTGTACCCATTCAATAGAAACTTATCTGGCCACTGGGTAAAGCTGGCAAGAAAACTACTGGTTCGCAATGTATTAAGCAGCCCTCTGCCCATGAGCCTTCGAGTTGTTGCCACTAGGCATCTTTGTGACACTAGGCCTGTGCGTGTGCACAGTGCAGTGTGTACCCCTGGGCCTGTGCGTGTGCGCGGTGCAGTGTGTAGCCCCGGGCCTGTGCGTGTGCGCAGTGCAGTGTGTAGCCCTGGGCCTGTGCGTGTGCGCAGTGCAGTGTGTAGCCCTGGGCCTGTGCGTGTGCGCAGTGCAGTGTGTAGCCCTGGGCCTGTGCGTGTGCGCAGTGCAGTGTGTAGCCCTGGGCCTGTGCGTGTGCGCAGTGCAGTGTGTAGCCCTGGGCCTGTGCGTGTGCGCAGTGCAGTGTGTCTGTAGTTCCTGGATGTGCTCCCTGTTGAGGCGTCCCCACAAACAGGCAGGCAGGCACCTCTGAAGAACTGGATCTCTAGAGTTTATGTACATATTTAAATCTTATTTAATATTTTATTGTGGTAAAATGGACATAAAATTTACCATTTTAATCATTTTCAACTGTACAATTCCATGGCATTAAGTACGTTCATGTTGTTGAGCTGCCATCACCATCCATCCCCAGAAGTTTTTCATCTTCCGCAACTCTGTCCTCGTTAAGCACTAACCTTCCGTTTCCTCTCCCTCCCTCCCTGCACTCCCCTCCCTGGCACTTTTTCATCTTCCGCAACTCTGTCCCCGTTAAGCACTAACCTTCCATTTCCTCTCCCTCCCTCCCTGCACTCCCCTCCCTGGCAGCCACCACTCACTCTCAGTATTTCGCGAGTGGAATTATGCAGTATTTGTCCTTTGTGACCGGCTTATTTCACTTAGCAAAATGTCCTCAGGGTTCATCCATGTTGCAGCATGTTTGAATTCCGTTCCTTTTTAAAGGGTGAGTCACACTCCATTGTATGTGTAGACCAATTTGTCCATTCCCTTGTCAAGGCATTTGGTCGTTTCTACCTTGAGGCTCTTGTGAATAATGCTGTGAACATGGATGGACAGACACCTGTGGGTCTGTGCTCAGCTCTGTGGGGATGCGTGTGGTAGTGAAATTGCTGGATCCTGTGTGATGCTGTTACAGCACTGTTTCCAGGATGTGAAAACTGTAAATATTAGCCTTTTGTCTTTTCCCAGCTGGTGGAAAAATAATCTGCATTTCCCAAAAGCTGTGTTAAATATTTTAAGGGTTTTAAAGTCATACGTGTATTCCTCCTGCTGTCGATTTGTGTGCATGTTTGTATCCTGGCCAGAAAGTGTCTGTGCTGATGGCTTTTTTTCTTACTGATTTACAGCGGCATTTTAGAAGTTAGAAAATTCGTTCTCTGTCCTGTGTTGCAAGTATTTCCCCCAGTTTGTTATTTATATTTAGGTTTTTGGTTACTTTGTTTTTTGTCTGTGTGATCAATGCTATCCCTCTTCCTCTGTGGTTTCTGGGTTTTGCATCTTGCATAGAAAGGGCTTTGAGGACCGAAAATGCTGGATTCTTGAAAGTCTGCAGTGATGTGGGGAGCCTCAGGGTGCTCCCGCCCTCTGCCCAGCCCCCCTCCCCCAGAGGCCCAAGCAGCCTTCCGGAGGCAGTGGCCCCGCAGAGCCCTGAACCTGCACCCTCCAGGCGGCAGGGGGTGTGGGGAGGCCCGAGGACTGAACCAGGGTTTATGTGAAAGTCTACAAACCCAATATGCAGTGGGGATTCTAAACGAAACATCACATTCTTTCTACAGGATGGGGTAGGGAAGTTCTGATTTTATACACTTTATTTATCCACGTGGTAGACGTCCTCCCAGAGTGGCACAGCCTTCCCGCCACCCCCTCCCTTTCCAGCCAGAACTGCTAGCGCCTTCTCTGGAGAACCCACGCCCCAGCCAGACGCCGGGGCCTGGCATCTGGTAAAGAGCGAGGACGGGCATTTCATCCCAGAGTCCAGATCCAACCTGACCTCCCACCCATCGGACTTTATTTATCCACATGGTAGACGTCCTCCCAGAGTGGCACAGCCTTCCCGCCACCCCCTCCCTTTCCAGCCAGAACTGCTAGCGCCTTCTCTGGAGAACCCACGCCCCAGCCAGACGCCGGGGCCTGGCATCTGGTAAAGAGCGAGGACGGGCATTTCATCCCAGAGTCCAGATCCAACCTGACCTCCCACCCATCGTTCCCTGTGGATGGAAACACCTGCCTCGTGTGCTAGAGCCCAGTACAGATCACGTTACCAGCATTTACTGAACTTATCGTGTGCCTGCAACTGTTCAGGCCTCGCAGTGAGAGGGTCACGGGAGAGTCCGCACCCCTTAGTTACCATCATGACTGCGTATGAGGAAGCACGGCCCATAGACGCGTCTGGAAGGTCTGTGCTGGGTGGTGCAGGGTAAAGGGTGGGGTGGCCAGGCTGTGACTGAGCAGGTGTGGGAACTGGCTGTACCCGTGGCGGGGTGGTCAGCAAAGCTGCTGTAAGGCCCGGGGGCTGGAGTGTTGGAGCTGGGGGTGGGATGTTAGAATATTAGGGGATGAAGTCAGACAGTGACAGGGGGTCTGGGTTGTATAGGGCCTTGAAAGCCGTAAGAATGTTGAGCTCACAGAGTGAAGAGGGAGCTTTTGAAATGCTCTGAACAGTGTGGACCGTGCACCCTGCAAAGGGGTAAGGGAGACTGGAGAGAGCAAGGCTGGGAAGGGTGCCAGGCAGACTGTGCAGCAGAGATGGAGGCAGAAACCGTCAGATTCAGGGCTGGCCTGGGATGGGTGGGTGAGAGAGGAATCCAGAGAAACTACAGCATTGGGCTGTACCACCAGAAAGATGGGGAGACTGTGTTTGGGGGGCGGGTGGCGCTGGCAGAATCAGCTGGGGATGTGTTCATCTGCTGGTCAGCGCCCCGGGAGCCACGATGGCAGTGCGGCCGCTCTGCACAGAGCTGACTGCGGAAGCCCAGCAGAGCCAGGCGCACAGGGCAGAGGTGCCCACCAGGAGGGGGGCAAGCAGGGCCAGCTCCAAGGCTGAGGAGCAGCCCTGGAATGTTCCGTCAGCCGAGGGGAACCGCAGGGAGGGTGGCCCAGTGCAGGGAGGATCTGAGGCTGCGGTGGGAGCCTGTGCCCGCTCTGGGGTCCCCCGACCCCGCTGTGCTGTCGCCAGTGTGCGCTTTGCCTGCTTCTGCTCCACTGTGACTCACTCGCGGAACTGTTCACTTTTCCGGGTGACTTTTGGGGTTAGATTATGTAGTCATCTTACTAGGATCCTATTCAAGCCAAATCATGTCTCTGCGAGCCTGTTGGATCCAGATCTTCCCAGGAGGCAGCCCCCAGTCAGAGCAGTGGCTCTCGCCGCCCGGAGAAGAGTGGCGCAGACGGGGCTGCCTGGCGGGCCGGCTCCTGTGCCACCACCGGCGGGACCTGCGAGGCGGGGCTTTTCCTGGCGCAGCGCTGGCTGTGGGTGGCCTCGGCCCTCAGACGCTGTGCAGAGGCTCGCAGAGCAGATGCCACCGGGTGCTGTGGACGCTTTTCTCTCTCCCGCTCCTACGTTCTGACCCCTCCTTGCACGTGGGAGACCCCCCAGATGGTGCCCAAGACGTCCGTCCGGAGACCCAAAAGCGAGGCAGCCACAGCGGCTTCCCAGGCCCCTGGGTGCCCAGAGGGGGCGGGCCTGTCTCCCACGGGCCTCGGACCGTGGGCGCGGGGTTCTCCGTGGAGGCTGCCAGGGCGGTTTGGCCCTGCTGCAGGCTGGCTGGCACTAACCTCGTCGTCCCATAATCCCGTGGGCTTTTACATTCCCTCCTGGTCAAGTCCCTTCTCCTTCCATGGGGCCTGTTTCTGTTCTTGCCTCTGAGGACACGGGCCTCAGTGATCCCTCTCCAGCATGGTCGGCTTTAATGGCATTTACTGCATGTCCCAGGGCAAACAATGTAGGGGAGGGAAGAGGATGTAGGAACAGAGAACTGTGCGCGTGGGCCAGGATCACGGTGGAAACCGCCACGGCGCCTGCCTCAGCCGGACGGGGAGGGGAGGCAACTAGAAAGGCCTCAGCCCAATTGTTTTACGTGGCCCCTTGGGAGGCAGCAAACCTCGTCCTCGTGTGAGGAAACAGGTGGCCCCATAGCACTCAGCCAGTGAGGACCCGGGGGAGGGTGAATGAATGGCTGTGCTCCCCGCCCCACGTGTGCCAGCGTAATGGCACCGACGCCACTCTCCAGGGACGATTGAAAGTCGAGTCCCCATTTGAATTCGGACGGGTGAGCAGTGTCTTACACCTCCCGGAATCCTGCCAACCCAACAGCCTCACCACACGGTGAGGCCACTGTGAGGTTTTCCACGTTGATTTCTGAGACGCCCTGGCTCTTCAGAAAACTTACAAATGTGGAACTTCAGGGTCAAAGTGCCAGTGATTCTGTGGCCTGGGAGGAGGGAGGTCGAATGTGGAACTTCAGCGTCAAAGTGCAGAAGTTTCCTATGCAAGTGCCAGTGATTCTGTGGCCTGGGAGGAGGGAGGTCTGTGCTCCAGGGACAGGGGCCCGCGGCGTAAACACACCGCGGGATGGATTCAGAATTACGAGCGTTTACCTGGCCTTCGTTTGGTCCTTCAGGAGGGAGATGGTGTGGTGATCGGCAGCTTAGATCGCTTGGCATCCGTGGAGCCCACGTAGGCCGGGCCCGGGGCCGAGGAGCGAGGCCCATTTGTGACAGTCCTCCTGGGGTGGGTAAGGGCGTAACGGGTTGAAAGGGAAGGAGAAGGCCAGGAGAGCAGCGGTTAACAGGCTTTCTCTTCCCTGGAAAACAATCGATTTGGATTCCTTGTCCGTTTCCTTTGCTCCACACTCACCGCAGGGCTGCCTCACCCCCAGGGACAGGACGGCCCAGGTCTGCTTCGCCCTCAAGTCCCTGTGCTGCACTCCTCCATTTCAGCAGAAAACGTGGCTTCCCCTTGTCCCTGGGCCCTTTCCCATCCTGTCCCACCAGTGGGAAGTGGGGCCGAGAGAGGGGCTAATAGTGCCGATACCACCAAGCCGTCCGTGGCCCCGCAGCAGGACTTTGCCAGAGAGAGGCTTATCCGCATGCCATCTGCTCCTGATACTCCTGGGTGCGATCAGAGGCCCCATGTCCCTGGTCAGGAAGCAGAGGGACATTCAGAAAGCCCATGCACGCTGTCTGGCCTCAGCCAGCAGGGCAGCGGACCACCCGTGGAGCAGGTCGAGGCCCCTCTCAGGACCCCCGAGGAGCCTGGGCGCAAGGGCCTGGTGTCTGGGGAGGAGCAGAGTGAGCAGGAAGGTGGGCTGTGCTTTGTGGGAACAACCCACTTCACACGGAGTGAGGCCTCACGTCCTGCTGAGCCTGCCTGGCCCTGCCCCAGGGGAGGGCAGGTCTGGTGTGGCTGGTGGGAAAGACAGGGGAGATGGCTGTCCCTTTCCTTCTTGGACATTGTCAGCAAAGCCTGGGCTGGGCAGCCTTCTTGCAACTCAGAGAGGAAAGCCAGGGCGACCTCAGGACATGGTAGAGCAGCTGAATGAGCCAGCTTTCTGGGTTTCTGTGTCTGAGGCCGTCAGCTTTCTTCCTTGTTCAAGCCGCTCTTCATCGGATGCTCTGCTGGTCGAAGCGGCAGGCACCTGCCTGGCACAGACACTGGGGTGGCCCTGGTAGCGCCTCCAGGGTCAGCCTTGCCCTGGACACGCAGCGCGGGCTGCAGTGCTCTCGCTCTGCAGTGAGGGTCAAGGCTGAGTGGCTTTCAAGGGCCTTCGCTGTGCATTTTAGCTGGACCCCTAGTTCCTTGAACTTCTTTAAAAAAACTGAAAGAACCCAACTATCTACTTTCCCTAAATCCAAGGCACCTGGATGAGGAGGTGAAGCTGACTGGATGCCTCCCGGGCCGAACCGCTGCCTGACGGCTTGTTCCTGGCGGCTGGGCTTGGGCTTGCTCAGGAGCTGAGGACCCACAAGGCATCTGTCTCTGGATTCAAGGGGTGGGTGTGCCGCCCGCCCTTGCACTGTGCAGTCCCCTCCCAGAGGGACAGAGGGGCGGCCCCTGCTAACGGAGCAAGCTGCCCATCCATGCTGCCGTCCTCGGTTTACAGTGAGCCTTCCTCCCCTTGTTAGCACCTTTGTCGAATGGGAAGGGCAAGGGGAGAAGACACAGTCAGTAAACAAACCAGGGCCTGGTTTCTCCTGATGAAAGCCCTCAGGAGGGCTCACTCCAGCAAGACCCTGCAGGCTGCTGGGCCTTCACGGGTCCAGGGCAGAGCTGTGGGACCTTCATGGGCACAGGGCCGGGCTGCGGGGCCTTCATGGGCACAGGGCCGGGCTGCGGGGCCTTCATGGGCAGGGCAGGGCCAGGCTGCAGGGCCTTCACAGGCGCCAGCTCGGTCTGCTCAGTTGCCAACTCAAATGCCCAAGGCTTGGGAGAACTTAGAGCAGCGGTTCTCAACCTGTGGGTTGCGACCCCTTTGGCGGTCGAATGACCCTTTCACAGGGGTCGCCTAAGACCATCCTGCATATCAGATATTTACATTACGATTCATAACAGTAGCAACATTACAGTTATGAAGTAGCAATGAAAATAATTTTATGGTTGGGTCACAACTTGAGGAACTGTATTTAAAGGGCCAGAAGGTTGAGAACCACTGACTTAGAGGAACTGTACAGGAACTGAGAAATACAACAAGAAGGCTGAGGTACAGTCAAGGCAGGAAAGAATCTTCCAGAAATGCACCTTCAAAAGCTGAGGTGAAAAACGATCTTGTTTATATTGTTTGCTGTGAAATGCAATGTGGAGAGAAACCAAGATGGCCGCATAGGTAAATGTCGGTACTCCCACAACCACATCAAAATTACAACTAAAATACAGAACAACCATCAGTCAGAACCGCCTGAAAGCTGGTGGAATGGAATCCTACAACTAGAGAAGTAAAGGAGAAAGCACACTGAGACTGGTAGGAGGGCGGAGGCACGGACCGGGCTGTCTGACACCACAGGCGCTGTTTTTTAAATCAGGAGGGAGATTGTCTGTGGAGGCTGCCCGTGAGGAGCAAGAGGTCCCAGTCCCACAACAGACCCTCAGCCTAGAGTCCCAGAGCTGGGAAGAGAAGTCCCCCAACTACGGCTGTAAAAACCAGCAGGATTGTGGCTGAGTGACACACAGGCTGCTGGAGACCCAAGTGTTCCTTTTAAAGGGCCAGTGCCTGAACTTATTAGGACTCCTAGCACCAGGTGGCAGCTTTAGGGGATCCAGACACATACGGGGAGGAACTGGACTGTCTGGCATTGGGCAGGAACTAGAGGACAGCTTCCTCGCGGGGGTCACTTCCTGCACTGAGACCTCCCCATCTGCAGGGCTGACTGGCAGCCATATCTGAGTCTCCATCAGCCTGGAGCACACTGTGAGCTTCACCCTGAGACCCCGCCCCATCCCATTTGCAGCCCCACCCAAGCTGTTTGCAGCAGCTTTTCTATAAATGGCCTGTCCTGGCTCAGGCTTCAGACTTTGCTAAAATCTCTCAAACAAGCTGCAGCTGGGGACATTATGCCCCAAGCCTATCAATAAAAGGCCCAAGACCTGGCACCAGCAACAGCCTGCCTTGCTTCACAGCTGGGTCTTGCCTGGGTACCTCCAAGCCCAATACAAATAGCAAATAGCAGCCGTCTGCAGATCCCTCTGTAGCTCCTGCCAGGTGGCTCTAGGCAGTGGCTGACTTTTCACCTCCCTGGAAGCCCGAGCCAGTGCACCCAGTGGACAGTTTCAGATCACACCAGATTACAACTCTACACATCCACAAGTGACACACTCAAGAGGCAGACTCAGCACCAAAGCCCCACTGAAGCAAGTCCTGCTCCATAGGGATATTTCCTGCACAGCAACTCTCCCACTGCAGTAGAAGTTGGTCCTCACAGCCAATTGGCGTGGAAGTCAACTCCTCCTAGTGATGCCAATAGCAATCAAGGCTCAACTACAAGACTTTGCACATGGCCCACAAGGGTGCACCTAGAGTGCCCAGCTGTGGTGATTGGGGAGGCTGAGCTACTGGGTCCTACGGGACACCTACAACACAAGGCCACTCTACCAATTCCAGTAGACATAGCAGCTCTACCTAATACATGGAAATAAACACAAGGAAGCAGCCAAAATGCAGAGACAAAGACACATGTCACAAATGAAGGAAATGGAAGCAAGCAAACTACTGGATACAGAGTTCAACACCATGGTTATAAGGTTACTCAAGGAAAATCATGAGACTTTCAAGGATCTTAGTGAGAATGTCAAAGACATGAACAAGTTTCAGTAAGAAATTAATCATACAATAACTGAAATAAATTTACAGGGATCCTACAGTAGAGGATTCATAGAATCAAATCAATGATGTAGAATATGAGGATGCAAAAAACACCCATTGAAAAAAGCAAAAATAAAAATACAAAAATGTGAAGATACTGTAAGGAGCCTCAGGGACAACTTCAAGCATACCAACACTTGCATTATGGGGGTGCTGGAAGGAGAAGAGAGAGAGCAAGATATTTAAAACCTATTTGAAGAAGTAATGACAGAAAACTTCTCCTACCTAGTGAAAGAAATAGACTTACAAGTCCAGGAAGCATAGAGAGTCCCAAATAAGAGGAACTCAAAGAGGCCCACACCAAGACACATCATAATTAAAATGCCAAGGGTTAAAGACAAAGGGAGAATCTTAAAAGCAGTAAGAGAAAAGCAGTTAGTTACCTACAAGGGAGCACCCATATGACTGTCAGCTGATTTCTCAACAGAAACTTTGCAGGCCAGAAGCAAGTGGCAAGAGATATTCAAAGTGATGAAAAGCAAGGACCTACAACCAAGACTAGGCTACACAGGAAAGCTATCAGTTAGAATTGAAGGTTAAAGAGCTTCACAGACAAGAAAAAGCTAAAGGAGATCACCACCACCAAACTGGTATTACGTTAAATGTTGAAGGGTCTTCTTGAAGAGGAGGAGGAGGAGGAGGAGTTGGAGGAGGAAAGGGAAGAGATAAAAAGTGAATACAAATACGGGTCAACAATTGAACTTAAAGATAAATGAACAAGAAATCTAGTGAACAAAATAAACTGGTGAATAAAATAGAATCAGAGGCATGGAACAGACTGACGAATCTCAGAGAAGGGGGGAGGGGGATGGGAAGAGATTAACCACAGATCTTACCTGTGGACACAGACAGTAGGGTGGTGAAGGCCTGGGGCAGGGTGGGAACTGGGTGGAGGGGGCAAAAAGAGAAAAGGGGGGACATCTGTAATACTCTCAACAATAAAGATTAAAAAAATACAGTGTGAATAGGTGTCCACGTGAGAGCACCCCCCAGAGGGAGGCCAGTTCCAGGGGGTGCCCCTTCGCAGCGACCACACTGGCCCACAGAGGCTGGTCATAGCCTTCATGGCAGAGTCCACACCAGCGGCGTCAACGCCAGCTGAAGCGTGTGAAAGTGATGATGATGATGATGATGGCAGTTGTGATAAAATATTTTAACAGGACACCTTTCATACTGTAACAAAAGGAAGGCTCAGGTCAAAAGTTACTGGGATTTTCCAGATCTTCACGTGGATCCATCTACCGAAACACGTATTTACTCTGAAAGTTCAACCTCTATCGAATCCAAAAAAAACTGACTCATACTGTTCCTTTCATGGAGTCTCGAGAAAAGCATTTGGGGAGCCTCATGCGGGAAGATGAGGTTGAGTGGTAAGGGTCATCGAGGTGGAGAGAGAAGGCTGCCCCTGGGTTCCCACTGCGTCAGCTCCATCCTTCCTGCTGCGGAAAAAGTCTATCTTGTTTTCATCAAGACCAGAATAGGGCCAATGACCAGACATTTGCACCACTGGTTCAGTCCATGTCCCTCTCCTGACCTGGCTGGCTTGCTGTCTTCCTGGCTGGCGCTGTGCTCGGGCCCCCAGGCAGCTGCGAGGGCCACATGGTTGCTATGGAGAGAACAAGCAAACCAAAGGGGCCAGTGCCTGTTACCAGGAGGGTCGAGTGGGGGTAGAGCGAGAACGGGGGAGGGAGGATGCTCTTTTGTTAGCTGGGATTATATTATCTTGGGTTTGGGAAGGACCAGGAGCTTTTTCAAAATAACCAATCAACTTTTCAAGCTTTCCTGGGCTTGCACTAGGCCAGTGATGGCGAACCTTTTGAGCTCGGCGTGTCAGCATTTTGAAAAACCCTAACTTAACTCTGGTGCTGTGTCACATATAGAAATTTTTTGATATTTGCAACCATAGTAAAACAAAGACTTATATTTTTGATATTTATTTTATATATTTAAATGCCATTTAACAGAGAAAAATCAACCAAAAAAATGAGTTCGCGTGTCACCTCTGACACGCGTGTCATAGGTTTGCCATCACTGCACTAGGCCCACCCTCTAACCAATCTGCTTCCTAGATATTCTGGGGTTCTGTATCCTCTATCCAATCCAATCCCTTTCCCAGGCTAGACGGACAGGCCTCTATGGTCGCGGTCCTGGCTCCCATGGCGCATGTGCTCACCTCCCCCACAGTCTGGGTGAGTGGGTGGGGAGATTGAAAAGCAGGTCCTTCCTCCCTATACAGGGGAGCGCGGGGTGTGCGTCCCCCTTTGGGCCAGGCTGCGACCCCCTGGGGTGCCTATGAATGCAGCAACTTCCTAGTGAGCAGGCTTATGCCACCTCACTGATTAGCCTGAATAATGTCAGGTTTCCTTTGCTCTCTCCCGTCATTAATACTTAGCCACTGATGCTAACAGCACCTCAAACAGGAGCCAAGCCTGTGGGAGCTTCAGAGATGACAATCTGCAAGTCACAGTGGACATAAAAGTCTTGACTCACTTGACACGCAGAAGATACAGAAAAGAGCATACAGTCGATACAAGTTAAGAATAAACCTGAAAAGAAACAATCTTTAACTGATGTGAAATAAATATTAACCTTGGGGTTATCAGTCCTTTATTAGGAATTTCCATTTCCAGTTCACTGGTGTCTCTGGAACTCGTCCTCGCCCTCCGGCAGCGTCTCTAGGCAACGGGGCTCTGAGGCAGCAGCGAGTGTTTAGCAACAGACTGGCTCCACGCGGTGGCCGGGCTGGGTCGCTCTCCATGGCAGGCGGCATGGACCAGTGGGCCCTGTCACTACTCGCTCCGTCCCCGCGGCTTGCTCACGGGGCGCCCAAGGGAACCTCTCCTTGCTAGAGAACTAGGAAAGGTGGCTTCATCTCAAATCCCTGTGGATTCAAAGGAACACCAATACCAATGGCCTGACTTTTAACACAGACCTGGGACAGGGGCTAAATTACTTTCTAAACTGAACAGTGGTTCATGACCCATTTCTTGGTCCAAAGACTTTGAAACATTTAGATAATAGCTGTGCATTTTGTTTGATAAGGGAAAAAAGGAAATAAAAATTGGTTCTCCCATCCGAGCCTTTTCTCAGTGATTCTCTGACACCCAGCTGAGCTGGTCAAGAGAATGCTAAAGGCGTAAACTCCAGTCATCAGTGAATAGACCTGACTGAGTCTGGGCGAAGGAGCCTGTCTCCTCCTTGTGTAGAATTCTCCTAGCAGGTCTTGCCAGGGTAGTTCCAGCTGATTGTTACTCCTCACAGAGGGCACCCTTGCCACAGAAACCCATCGCTGCATCCCTGGCCCCGCGCACCTGGGCCCACAGGGCGGTGCTCGGTCAACGGGCCTGCGCTGGACGTGTGCGCAGCTCTGTAAGGAGCTCCCGGGCCAGTTGTCTCGATGCCGGGGCCTCCATGAAAAGACGATCCCATCTGTCCAAGGTCTGGTCAAGAAAGCCGATGGTCTCCCGGGCTGTCTCCTCGGTCTGCGCCATCTGAATGAGGCAAGAGGAGCCAAGTTAAACCCTTCCAGACACATCTCCTCTGTCCAGTGAGCCAGCCGCACCGTCCTGCCAGAGGCAGCGCGTCCCTGTCAGCCGTTTCCGAGGGCAGGCAGGGCTCGCCTGCCGGGGGGCTGGCCTGGGTGAGCAGCATTTCCGCAGGCGCACCCTCTCCTGCAGAGGCCGCGGGCACTATGTTTCCTGGGATGCTGGGCGGAGGTGGTGGTTGTGCAGCTTTGGGGTGACTTGCTGTGGGGAGCA